TTATCTGCTGCTCTCTGACTACATCTCCCCACTTCCTGTTCCTCTCCCCTGTCCTGGTAATCATGGTTCAATTCTCCATCTCTGTATGTTTAACATTTTGCTTTTGTTTCTAGGTTTTGCTTACATGGGTTAAAAAAAAAAAGAGGCTCATGAAGGTCTACTGCAAGCTGAGGAGCTATTGGCAATTGATAGCTGAGGCGGGGGAGCAAAGGTTTTCTTCTGGAGATGTGGCCCCTGTGTGGCTAGACATACTCCAATACAAATTTCTCTTTAAAAAAAAATGTGGGACTATGCAATCTATTTTTGTGATTTAGTTTATCTCACTGGGGTTCTTCTTTTTTATTATTAAACCTGTTAAGGACTTTTTGATGAGAATTTTATTCCATAGGTCCATAGCATTTGTGGAACCTTTTGGTGATATGTGCGAAACTTACAAGCATCTCTCTCCAAATATAAGCTAAAGCAAAATATTATTGTTAGAATAAGAGCAAAGCACTATGTTAGATCTTTAGTGTGGTCTCTAGGAGCTCTAGGCATTCGACATATGTGTGGAAGAACATGGAATTTCCATTGTTAGCATTTGACAGTCACTGAAATCAAAGTTAAAGAAGACTGAGCCCAGTGCTCACTTCGGTCATCCCAGCACCCAGGAGAGATTTGCCTATCCATATTACCTACATCCCATAAAGTTACCTACATCCCAACATCCCAAACCATTGTTCTTCCATCACACAGCTCTGAAGCTGCCAGGTACATCGAGGTGAGTTAGAATGCAGTTGGCCCACAGTCGGTAACTAAATATGAAAATTGGACTGAATCTAAATTTCCCAAGGAAATTGACCTGATGCTGGGGTGGACAGTGTTGGAATCATTTGGCTGATGATGCTAATCAGTCACCATTTTGTTTGGAAAGGGAAGCCCAGTAATCAAATAAGTTTAGTAAAATCTCCTGTGTTTACAGAGATCTAGTCAAAATGATTCTACATTTTACTATTTAAGCATCCAAGTGGAAGTCATGCTTTGCCTTTCTAATTGAATATTTGCTTACATGTGTATGACACAAGATCTCTGAATGAAGCAAAATTGTATTCTATCATACTTCTAATGTTTGTAGGTGCTGGAATTCTGATTGCTTTTTGTTCAAAACTCCTAAATTAAAAAAAAGTATTTATATACTGTTATGAATCTGCTACCTGTGGTGGTTGGATTAGTGAGCCCTAAACATCATGTCACCTATTACAAGGATGAGAATGGGGAAAAAAAACACTTAGATGCGTTTTACCTTAGGAACACTGCTTAACCCAGCCAATCCTCTCACTCCTCCCACTAAAATACTGATAATATAGGGTACCTGCCGCCCACTTTACAGGGTAGTTACAGAAACAATCTAACATATTAGAATGGTGGAACTGAACAGAGGCTTCAGACATCTCTGTTTGAGCTCTGACATTACCACCTACTCTGTGATGTCAGGTGCCTGAGAACACACACACACACACACACACACACACACACACACACACACACACACACGAAAGCCCTGCAGTGGAAGTTCAGCCTGTGCGCTGCTCCATTCCCAACCTTCACTCCCATTGGGTTTACCAAGCAGAGTCCCTAACAAGGGTGACAACACCAGGGATAGGATCTGCTGCTGCAGAAAGGAGAGCAGGAACAGAGGAGAGAGGCGCTGCCTGGAGGGGGTCCTTAGCCAGGCCTTGGATGAGGTTGGGTCTCAGAGGAAGTGGATCTGTTGTCTCACATCCTGCATGCATTTCCGGAGGATTTCATCTGAATCCAGGAGTCTGGAGAAAGGAAAGGACAGCCAGAAGGTGTAAGGAGAAGTGTGTCCTTCCTTCCCTCCCAACCAGCTTCACCTTTTTCATTTCATGTGTGTGAGTGCTTAGCCCAAAGGTATGTGTGTGCACTGTGGGTGCTAGGAATTGAACCCAAGTCCTCTGGGAAAGCAGCCAAGTTCATTGTCACTGCTTCAGCTATCAAGAACTTTATACCCATTATTTATTAGCTTCTTATTGTTGCCAGTAGTAATCTCTGTTATTATAAAAAGCAAACATACAGTGAGTGCTTAGACTGGACTAAGTCCACCTACTTAGTTATCATGACAGCAATCCTGTAAGAAGGATTCTATTGTTATCCTTGTTTACAAATAGGTGAAGCGAAGATAAATCAGAAAGAAGGAAATACTTCACAAAGCTAGTAAATGGTGCTGCTGAGGCTCAAACCTGGAGCTGGCTGACTCTAGGTTCCTGTTTCTAATTAGTCTGTCGCCCTCTGATGCACTTAATTATTAACAGTTACAGTTCAAACTCAGAAAGGTATGACTTCAACAGCTATGCGTTACGTTTCACTGTACCACCCAGGACCCATACAAGTAAATCTCATGGAATGAATGGTAAGTCAACAAACACCATTTGAATATTTCACTGAGCTGTGTTTTCAAGACGAGGGGAAACAACACTATCCAAACTAATATTTAAATTTAGTCATCTCAATTCTGATGGCTCAGCAAACTATGGTTTTAAAACAGTAAAAACCAGCCGGGCGGTGGTGGCGCACGCCTTTAATCCCAGCACTCGGGAGGCAGAGGCAGGCGGATCTCTGTGAGTTCGAGGCCAGCCTGGTCTACAGCACGAGATCCAGAAAAGGCGCAAAGCTACACAGAGAAACCCTGTCTCGAAAAAACCAAAAAACAATAAAAATAAAAAATAAAACAGTAAAAACCTGTCCAGACCCTTTTGGGAGCATTGGTGTCTGTATTTTCAAGAATATCCTGAGCTGGAGAGATGGCTCAGTGATTAAGAGCACTGACCACTCTTCCAGAGGACCTGGGTTCAATACCTACCATCTACATGGCAGCTTACAACTGTCCACAGCTCCAATTCCAGGGGATCTGGCATCTTCATAGATATACATGTGGGCAAAACACCAATGCACATAAAATAAAAATAAATCTTTAAAAAAAGAATATCCACTGAAGCTGGGTGAGGTGACACACACCTTTAATTCCAGTGCTTGGGAGGCAGAGGCAGGTGGATCTCTGTGAGTTCAAGCCAAGCATGGTCTACATAGTGACTTCCAAGACATACCTACATAGTAGAGAGACCCTGCCTCAAAATAAACAAACAAACAAACAAACCAGAATATCCATTGGAAAGCACCAGCTGCTCTTCCAGAGGACCTAGGTTCATTTCCTAGCACCCACATGGTGGCTCACAACCAACTCCAGTTCCAGGGAATCCTAGGCTATCTTCTGGCCTCCTTGGCTACCACATACATACATGGTGCAGAGATCTACATGAAGACAAAACATCTACATGCGTAAAATAAAAAAATAAAAATCAATGAAAAATCAATTAAAAGTCCCCTCCTGCCCTCTATCTCCCAGGACGTAGATGAGGGAGGATGGAGACGAAGAGGACACACCTGCATTGGTCAGTCTGGCCTGGGACTCCTCGTCTCTGCCCTGTTCCTCCTGTCTCTGAGCAACCCCTTATCCCTCCCACCTCTGTGCTGCCTTCCTTAGACAGAGAAGGCTTCCATAGCCTGCTCAGCATCCTCCAGACATGAGCTTATGGACAATTTCTTATCCCTTTTGAGAACTGGAATGATTTGGGTGTTAGTCAACACACATAAAAATGTCCCACACTGTAGAACACAGACTAGACTTCAACCTCAAGAGAACTCTCTGGGCTTCCTTGTGGGGTATAATTTGTCACTTCCAGGTACATTCTCACGTGGTATTTTCACATTACAAAAAAGGGCTTGTTTAGGGTGACTTATAATTAATCCCCATAAGTGAAAAAGGCAAAGCTAATTATAGAACTGTAGCTAGTTGGAATTTTTTTTAAATTTTTTATTAGCAAAAACTAGAACATTTACTATATAATACGCACATTTAAATGTGTTGTGCTTTTTCACGTAGCATAAATAACCAGTTGAGTGAAAGGCCTTGATTGGTGCTCTTCCTTTCTGTTCAGCTGCTGATGTAGTTTTAATGATAAGAGAACACTTGGAGTTAAAAGTATGGCCTACTGCTGTGGCCATTGAGCAACCTGCTCCAGCAGAACACCAAGCAGATGTCATGCCAATGCTTGCCCCATGAGGGAAAAGTTAAAAGCTGAGAGGACAAGGGGGGATGTCCTTTGTGAAGTACCTCCAGAGAGGAAACAATCACTCATACACTTAAAAACTCAAGGGAATGGTGGTTGCTGTATTGTAAAGAGTTGTAAACCTCAGAGAAAATCAAAGTGCACTGTTTGGCAAGTTCCAAAGGCAACAGCAGGTTGGGTTCCAGCGGGGGAGGCATTACAGCCTCCTAAATAATCAGCGGGCTGGAAAAGACTACATTAAGATGAACTCTCTCCCAGCGCCACTGATTTTTGATAAGGTATTTCAGAAAGTGATACACACACTGATTGCCTACCTATGTGAAAAGATGGGTTATCAATAGCCCTTTATCCATGGCCAGTTTCTAAACTAGTGTGAGTTAAAAAATCACTGAGGCAATGGATTTGAGACTAATTTTAACATTAGCTTGAAAAAAAAGCATAATTTATAAAGTAAACATTCTAGACTGGGAAGCCAAATATAAATTCCTTTTGGATGACATGAAGCTATGGATTACTAACGTATCTATATGGATAATCCCTCCTTTAGAGTGGGTAATCCAGAACTGGATACAATTATTTACATGTTAAAAGTGATGGTAATTATTACATGACACTGGTTTCACTAACTCCACAAAAGATGTTTTTCCTTCACCAACAATTCCTTATAAAGACTGTTGCTACGCATAAAGTTTTGGGGGTTTCGGGGGTAGAAAAGAGAGTTCTAATTTTTAAAAGCACAGATAAAAACATGATTTCTCATGTTTGGGGAAATACTTCTTTGCAATTCTGGCATGAAGCGATGTTAATGTAGTAATTTGCTGTGTTCCACGGTCCCAAAGATGATGTGTCTTGCTTGGCTTCTCTCTCACACAGCAACCATCTACTTTTGCTTATGCAAGACAAATCATTAAGAAGGAAGGCTTGGGGCTCAGGGGCCTGAACAAAGGATTTACGGCAACTCTGGGACGTCATGGAATTTTCAACATGGTTTATTTTGGCTTCTACCACAACGTCCGAAACATGATTCCAGCTAGTAAGGTAACTATTTAATAATTTAAGATCTGCTAGGTGGAAAGCCCACCGATGTTCTTAGCTTCTCCTACACAGTGTTTATCATGTCCCACCAAACTCCCATCCGCTATCTATTTGACTCCATCAGACTGTTTATTGAGTGCTGTTATTTCCCTTTCAAATCCAGAAACTGAGGCTTGTGGAGATCAGTAGTAAAGCTGACCTTGAACCCAAGTCTTGATAGGAAGGATAATCTCCATGAAGAATGTTTCATTTAGAAATGAATGCTTTTTTTGTTTTTGTTTTTCAAGACAGGGTTTCTCTGTGTAGTTTTGGTGCCTGTCCTGGATCTTGCTCTGTAGACCAGGCTGGCCTCGAAATCACAGAGATACGCCTGCCTCTGCCTCCCAAGTGCTGGGATTAAAGGGATTAAAGGTGTGCACCACCGCCACCCAGCTAGATATAAATGCTTTCAATTCATCTCTAACAGAGATTTCTGCAAACTGTGTTAACATTTCTACCTCACTCACATCACTGTCTCAAAAACATGGAGTTGTTTTGTTTTGCTTCAAACTTTAAATCAGTTCAGCTCACAGGGGAGATGTCAGGCTATATTTCAAATTGTGTGTTGATGCTCACTTGTAAAATCACTTAACTTGATTTAGGTAAGGGGATAAACCAGCTCTTCTAGAGTCTTGTTGCAATATAACAATGATGATTATCACATTATCTTTTTATGATAATTTACAGAAGCCAAGAGTCTTCCAACTCCTACAATATGAAACTAGCCTTTGGTGTACTTGTAACTCACACAACGTTGTGTTTTCCCTCCATGAAGCTTGACATTCGTGATGACAATTCTGCGTTTTAGACTCTAGAAAAAGCAACTCATATAACATTAGAAAAGTGTTTGTTTCCCCCAAAGACTTGAGGCAACTGTAAACGGTATACAATTGTGTAAATTATTTATACAAATTAAGAACAGATATATCTTAATATATTTATGACTGTGTTTTAATGTATATGTTATTAAAGTAAAATGAATTCATTTACATTTAAGAAAGAAATTCAGGAAGATAAGATGTATATGTAGTCAGATATTACTAGATATTTTAAATGGAAGGGGGACAGAGAAATTGGCAAGTTTTAGAGGAGAAAAGAGAAGGTAATAGTGAATATATCACAGTGCATTCTATACATGTGTGGTAGTTTGAAAGAAAATGGCCCCCAAAGGGAGTGGCATTATTAGGAGGTGTGGCCTTATTGGAAGAAGTGTATCATGGTGGGGGGGCGGTGAGGTCTTCTATGCTCAAGCTACACCTAGCCCAGTTCACTTCCTGTTGCATGTGGATCAAGATGTAGGACTCTCAGCTCCTTCTTCAGTACCGTGTCTGTCTGCACACCACCATACCCTGCCACAATGGTGATGGACTAAATCTCTGAACTGTAAGCCATCCTAGTCAAATGATATTTTCCTTTATAGGAAGTGCCTTGGCCGTGGTGTCTCTTCACAGCAACAGCAACCGTAACTAAGACAATACCCAAGTGACTCAGAAGTAATTCAAGAATTCACAAGTAGTGGCTCATGCCTGTAACCTCATCACTGTGGAAGTTGAGGCAGGAGCATCACCACTAGTTTGAAGCCAGCCTGATACATAATAAGACCCTATCTTTAAGCCGTCAATACATAAATATCTACAAGTTCAAACTTTATTCTAGAGTTGAGCAGTCTACAGGGATTACAGTTACGTTCTGCATAACTAAAACGAGCAGCTTCTTTATTTTCTTAAAATAGCGCACACTCCTAAAGCAATAGAAGGAGCCATTTTTCTTGCCTGCTTGAAAACCAACTTTGTTTCTAATACGAATACGTTTTATTTCAATAAGAACTTTAGCTGGGTGGTGGCGCACGCCATTAATCCCAGCACTCTGGAGGCAGAGGCAGGTGAATCTCTGTGAGTTCCAGGCCAGCCTGGTCTACGAAGCGAGTTCTAGGACAGGCTCCAAAGCTGCACAGAGAAACCTTGTCTCAAAAAAAAAAAAAAAACTTTAAGGAAGCACCTCTCTTGGGTTGAAGAGAAGGCTCAACCGCTAAAGGCTGGGCTCACAAGCCACATGTCAAGTGCCTCCCTCTGTATACCCGGTACTCTGTAAAGTGTGCCCTATTCTCAAAGGGACGCTCGTGAAGGAAGCCACGAAAAAAGGCCACTGAACAAGCATATTGAAAATGTTCTATTGTATTTAGATGGGCGATGTGCTGACAGTCATTAGTTAATAATACTTTTAATCGTGTATGAAAAAAATGCTTTCTAAACTCTCAGGTTCCATTTTTCTAAATTTGGACTGATATTCTAAGAGCAAATCCCATCACAGTTTTTAGCATGTAATAAATCACCATTGTTTAAAAACAATGGGTTTTTCTCACATTTATCCCTCCAGCATGCCAAGGTCTGCGCCGCTGTCATCTCCTACTCCCATTTATAAAGCAGGTATATAAATGGAAGTTAATAAGGACAGGGACTTTTCCTGGGTTTTTTTTTTCACTGCTGTGTCCTAAGAGATTAAAACAGTGCCTGGTACAGAGCAGATCCTCAGAAAAAAATCTCTATTAAATGAATCACATGAAGGAAGGAAGAAATGACTGGAAAATGTGTTTCCTTTCACGGCGCACTTTAGGGATACCTCGGCATTTGGGAGAGTCACTATATTAATTGATGTTAGTGTATAGGAAGCTGGGAGAAAGCACATGGTCGAAAGGCTTAGAGCTAGAGTGGGTCTCACCTTAACCAAACAGTACCCCCAAGAAAAAGGAAATACCACAATAGGGTCTTTGTATTCAGAAGGTGAGATGTTTGGTTTTGGAAATGCTTCTTAAAATGGAGATTTTCACATTGCCGAGATAAGTTTCCCCCGGCTGCCTCGGGAGACTGCCAGAGCAGGCATTTTGGCAATAACCAAAATCGTAATGACCTCAGCAGTGTAGACAGGCAACTGCTGTGCGGGCAAAGCTCCAGAGACCAGAACGGAAAGGCACGGCGTGAACTGCTCTCCCCACGGCTCCCTAGGCTCGGTGTTTCTGTCCAGTCTTTTGGTTAGTAAAATGTCAGTGGGTGTTTAACAAATACGTTTCTGTTAGTTAGCGTCACCTTCATTGAGATTAGACTAATAAACAAAGGCTTAATTTATTAACCAAAACCCTAAGGAATATTAAGTTCTCTCCCAACTCTTCAAGCAAAAGATACGGGCTGGAGAGATGCTCAGAGGTTAAGGACCCTTGTTGCTGTTGCAGTGGACCCTGGTTCAATTCCCAACACCTACCTGGCCACTCACAGCCATCTGTAACTCCAGTTCAGGGCATCTGATACCCTCTTCTGGCATCTGGGGGCAAGCATGTGGTGCATATAAATGCAGGCGAAACCCTCAAGAACATAAAATAAAAATAACTGTAAGAAAACCTTTTAAAGATACATTTTGTTCACTATGGTTCTAGCTCTTTATTTTGTTTTTTGAAGGACAGTCTTGCTATCTAACCCCATTCTAATCTTGAACCTACCATCTAGGCCAGGCTAGCTTTAAACTCATGATCCTCCTACCTCAACCTCTTTAGTGGAATTGGAACTGACTTTTTAAATTGTGTTCTAATTCTTACTTATCAAGCTGAAAACTCAAAACGAGGCACTTCTCTCTCACACACACACACACCATCCAAGGTAGCATATGGTAAGGAAGCTGCCAAAATACAGTTTATAATCATTTTTAAAAGTAAATATTGCCTGGTGTGGTGGTTCACACCTATAATTCCAGAACTTGGGAGACTGAAGCAGAGGGATTGCAAGACCAAGCAGGGCTAAGTAGTGAGTTCAAGGCTAGCCTGAACTACAAAATGAGATCCTGTCTCAAAACGTACATACATATTTAAAAAGTGGAAGTCCAATAAATCCTACTGTAATCCTTTCTCTGTAAGTTGTCACTAGTGGGGAAAGCCAAGGAATTGCTTCCTAGCTATTTGACTATCAACAATTTCAAATCTTGACCCACTTTGGGCCGTGCTGAAATCTGCCATGTGGCTCAGAATGTCATTCCCATACTTTAGTTTCCAAACTAAAACAACTTGTTCCTTTTTGTTTAATGATCTTGGCACTTGGGCTCCCTCTATGAGAGGAGTGTAGAAGGAATTCTGTGCGTAAAGTCTGGGGTCATTAGGTCTGAATATCCGCCTAGCATGTATTTATTGAGTGACTGACAGGTGGCAGGTCCCGTGATGAGTACCAGGGAATGCAATAGTGAGAAGCTGTCACAGAGCTTTTAAGATAAGAGAGAACAATCAAAAGCAAGAAAACACTCACGGTTATGAATGATCTGAACCTGGAGTCAAGAAAGACTTCTTCCCTAAGGAAATGGCATTGGAGCTGACAAGCAAGCTAGCCTCTAGCCAGTGACAGTACATGGACACAAGCATTCCAGACGTATGGGACATACAGTATCAAGGCTTTAAATTTGGAAGGGGTTGGTGGTCCTGGATAAATGAAAGACACCCCCGTGTAATGAATGCAAAAAGGTCAGGCCAGGAATCCAGCTGTCTAAGGCCATACTGACGGTTATAGGACACACTGAGGATTTGTGTCTTTACATAAAAGCACTAACGTCTTAATCCATTGTCTGTTATTATAGCAAAATGTTTGAGACTGGGTAATACATAAAGAAGAGATTGATTCAGGAAGCTAAAAATTAGGTGCCACATCTGGTGTGGTTCTACCTCACAATAAAATGGCAGGAGGAAAAGAAAAACAGAAAGTACACGTGTGTACCTTGGGAAACAAGAGCCCAAGCATTTCACAACAACCCCTTGTCAGAGTAACACTCAAGAACAGTGTTGACTCCTTCTCTAAAGTAGAGCCTCCATGGCACAATCACCTCTGAAAGCGCCCTCCACCTCTCAGTACCATTACGCTGGCAATTAAATTTCAAAATCAAATTTTAAGGAAATAGCATTTTCGAGACACAACAGGGCAAACACACACACAAAC